TAATTGGATATCATCCTGTTTACATGGTGGGTTATCTGCAATTATTCACAATGGACTGTCAGTAAAATGGATTCTATCCAAGAGAGGAGACAGACAAGGAGATCCTCTATCACCTTTTCTGTTTGTGTTAGTTGCTAATGCACATTCTTAGCTGCTAGAGCTAATCTAGTACCGGGTCTTACCCCTGGTAACCTTAGTCCACAAGTGCTGGGCCTTCAGTATGCAGGTGATACATTCGTTTTTTGTCACTCAGAGATTAATTGATAGTTTTGCAATTACTTTTATACAGCTATGAAGTGATATCTGGTCTGCAAATAAATTTCTCTAAGAGTGTGTTGATTACTTTTGAACGAAATCGTGAATTACAGCAACGGTTGGCTATGATGATGAACTGTGTGAGTGGTTCCTTTCCTATCAATTATTTAGGTGTCCTTTTAAGGCCTTCAAGTCTTCATAAAGAGGATTGGTTCCCTCTTATTAATAAAATTGAGATTAGATTATCAACTTGGAAGAGCAAAACACTATCTAGAGGTGGGAGATTGATACTTCTTAATTCAATTTTGAGCTCATTGCTTATGTTCTGGTTATCTTTCTTCCTCTTCTCTGTGTGGGTTATAGAGAGCATTGATAAGATTAGAGCAGTTTCTTGTGGGCAGGAAATATGGAAAGCTCAAGAGCTTCATTTTTAGTGAAATGGGAATATGTATGCAGACCAAAAAACCTGGGTGGTTTAGGAGTTCTTAATCTTCGAACTATGAATAAAGCTTTTCTGAACAAATGGATATGGAGATGAATAAAGCTTTTGTGGGAAAATGTAATACAAGACAAGTACTATTCTAATGATGAAGTCCTTTTTCTCCAAAATTCAAGTAAGCTATCACATTTTTGAAAAATTATTTTAAAAATCTGCTGATTGTTTCCTTTTTAATAAACAGGTTAAAATGGGATGTGGTTGGAAAACTTACTTTTGGTTAGATAAATGGATGAATGATTTCAGTTTAGCATCTTCTTTCCCTGAGTTGTACGAGATAGCCTTGTTTCCTTTGGCTTCTGTTTATTCTCAACCAATCCACAATGGGGCAAATTGGAGATGACATATTTAGTTTTCTAGACAATTAACTGGGCGGTTAGTGTTCAAATATTTAGAGTTAAAGGAAATTCTGAGACAATTTGAGTTAGTGGGAAATCTTGATAGGAGAACTTGGTTATTAGCAGCTAAAAGAAAATTGTCAACATGCTCTTTGTATTTCGTTTTAATTGACGGTTGATATATGGAAAGTGAAGACTCCTCTGAAAGTTATGTTCCTTTTCTGGCTAGCAATTCTTGGCAAGTTGAATACAAAAGATTGGTTGCTGAAGAAAAATGTTCAAGTTGACACTCTGTGTGCTGTGTGGAAGAGTGAACGAGTCTCATGATCATTTTGGATGGGGAGTGTTGCTTTGTGAAATTATGCGGAACTCCTTAAACTATAAATTTGATCTGTATGTGCTCCTATAACTGTAACCAATCCTTTTTGGTAGCAAGTAGTGGCTGGACCTTTTTCTCCCAAAAAGAAAGAACAAAAAGGAAAAAATTACAAGAACTGTTAAAATAAATAAAGAATATTTTATCTTAAGTATAACTATCGTAAAGATAAACTAGTCAACTGCATTTATATTTATCCAAAAGGGTTAAGGATAATATTGACCATGAAAAGATTTACCCAAACTCTCACTTTTAAAAGGAGTATGACACATACAATATATGTATGTTTGTATGTATTTATATATAAGGGTTTTTGCATATTATACCCTCAATCTTCCACATTTGCAAATTTACCCTCCAAATCATGATATTTTTAGAGCTAGTCTCCCAATTCTCCTACATTGCAGATTTCTACCCCTTATGATGTTAGTAAATACCTTATATATTCCCCAAAATTCTGTTAGTTTGGTTAATTTTTTCTTAAAATGACTACCATACCCTCAAGGTTTTAAATGTCGGCCGACATGTCCGACATGTTGGCCGACATATCGGTTTGAGGGCTTCACCGACACGACATGGACGTTTTCAACTCGTATGTCGGTTTTCAGGGCCAAATCGGAAATATCAGGGTCACGACACGACATGGACGTTTTCAACTCGTATGTCGGTTTTCAGGGCCAAATCGGAAATATCAGGGTCATATTGGGCATATCGGCCTATTTTTTAGCTTTGCAGGGCCAAATCGGAAATATCAGGGTCATATTGGGCATATCGGCCTATTTTTTAGCTTTGAAAAATCGGCGGATATGATACTTTTTTTTAAGATCTGTTTTTTGTTATCGGGTTTGGGTTTAGTGATAAATACCTAAAGCTGTTTGACCCGTTCTCATGTTTAAGGGTTTCTTATGAACCCGATAGAAAGAATTTATGAACCTTAATCCATATATTATTTACTTTTTTATATGTTTAGTCTATAGAATTTATAAAATATGCTTATATTGAATTTATGAATGCTTAGATTACATTTAGGACATGATATTATACATATGCGCACTACCCGATATAGCAATCCGATATTTAGTCAATGTCCCCCGATATATCCCCGATTTTTGCTATCCGATATGAATTTCAGCCATCCGACATGAACCCGATATCCGATATTTAAAACATTGCATACCCTTCGTTAGTAAATTAGACCTAATTAAGTTTTAATTGAAAAAATGTTTCATTTCCATCCACTGTGAGTTGGAAGATGCAGCATCTGCACCCTGCTTCTTTCTATGTCAGCCTAGCAAAAGGATGGCTCCAAAAATCTCTCATAATCTATCTCAAATCCTCCACCTTTCCTTCCTCCATTCCAGCCACTTTCTCAATGTCTGCTCCTCCAACAAATTCTTCAAAACCTCAACCTTAAATTTTCTCCTGAAACCTCAACAATGTGTGCTGCATAGAATCCCATGTGGCCTCAACCTCAAAATTTCCCAACTTTCCTCAACTAGCTCATTGACAAAATTTCTTTAAACTCAAGCACATCAATTGTATTTTCGGAAGTGTTTGGTTTTGTCTCTCAAAAGAAAGGGCTTAGGGCACTTGATTTGGAGGAAAAAATTGTTGCTGGGAATTAGTAGGCAGGGGTAATATTGGAAATTCAATCACCAACTATTCATATTTAACACTGTTACAATTGAGGGGCAGAAACTTCTAGTGAGAGAATTGAGGGTAATTTTGCAAATACCAAGGTTTGGAGGGTAATTTACAAATATGAAAGATTTGAGGGGTATATATGCAAAACTCCCTTATATGTGTTTGTTTGTATGTGTAAATGCGTATGTATGTATGCACGTATTCTTGTGTGATATGAGGATATGTTGGTTTTTTTTTACATTGCCATATTTTACATTTGAAATCGAATATCAAATTTAGTTATCCGCATTCAAAAACCAAATACGAGATTGATGTAGTTAATAGCTATTAACTGAAATATAGGTTTTACTTCATCAGAGCCTGCCCTCCTTAACATCGTCCCTGCATACATAAAGAAAACAAGTATATGTGATGTGTGAACACACACACACAGACAAACATAGCTATGTATACACACGTATGCATACACACACGCATATGTATGTATACGTGCATACATATGTGCATACATACACGCATAAATATTTATGTATTTATGTATTTGTGCATATATGTTATGCATCTATGTACTAATTACGTATATATGTTTGAATTTATGTATTTATTAAATATGTATGTTTTTATATATAAATATGTGTGTGTATGCATGTATGTAATGCATAATATGTAGATATGTTGGATTTTTTAGCATTGCCATATTCCACATTTCAAAGCAAATATCAGATACAGATATCCACGTTCAAAAAGCATATATGAAATTGGATATGGGGCAGATTTTCCATATTTTTTTTATAAGCATCGGTAAAATGTCCTACATATTCAGAGGATCTTCATTTGATGATATCTCTATCCTATCTGTCTAGTGTATGTGGCTTTAGTTTTATCTGATAAAGGACTTAATGATGTCTTCTTACCTTTGTAGTAGTTGTAAATTGATTTCTACAAATTGTGATGCTACCTTGTTTCAAGGGGCTGGGAACTTGTTGATTTGTCATGGACTCTGAATGACTTCTGAGAAATTTAATAGATACTGGTCAAGTATATATTTTCGCTACGAGAAAAATGATTACCAATGAAGGGTGTGTACTATTGAGTAACTGCACGTAGTGGATATGGGGATGTTCAGAGTTGGCAAGGTGATTAGGGCTTGAGACCATTTTTACGGCAGGTTAGTGTTTGCATACAAAAATCATGGATTATGGATGCTTAAGCTTTTGACAAAGTTGGCTTGACATCATATTTTAAGGTTTATTTCATAGTTATACAACGCCCCCAAACTTCTTGCATCATAATTTTTTAGTTTGATATCTATATTCGTATATTGCCAATGTTGCTGACATGGCTATCTTAAAGTGTTATTGTGTTTTCATACCACCATCTGACTGGATGTTGTTTTGACTTGTCATAACTGCATATCAGTAGATCTAGTTATCACTACAGACGTACATGACTGGACTGGAAAATCAAATATAATGTGAATACAGAGGATCAGTCAAATACTGCAGGTACCTCTGGGCTCATCAATAGATATGCTTGTTGTAGTTTGGTTATCTATTAATATAACTGTGACGTTTTTTAGGTGTTTTTTTAATAAAGTCACCCTTGATGTTATTATAATTCATACGTTGCTCTGCCATATTGAAAAACCCATTAGGTACATACGATTCTTGTATACTGTTTCTTCATTTGATATCTTGAAGTTGTGGAGTTGTATTCTTTTACTTATCTGGTACCTTTTAGTCGTGGAGGTGTATTGTTTACTTATCTGATACCTTTTAGCTGTGGACGTATATTCTTTACTTCTAATTCATTCTACCCGTCTTTTAGTTGCATTGTTCAACAAATATTTTCACATTGGCTATTTTGTTAAGTTTAGTCCTTTGTTCTACAGGCTTGATCATATATTGCTGGAGACAACAGGTCTTGCTGATCCTGCTCCCCTAGCTTCTATTCTTTGGCTGGATGATCAGTTGGAATCAGCAGTTCGACTGGACTCTATTATCACTGCAAGTTTCTTATGTCATTGTAACTGGTTTGCAATTCTTTTATTTAGCCAACGTGAAATTATTTTTTCACATATTTTATTGCATTGCTTATATTCTTGATGGCTTTGTTCCATGCTTATATGTTCATGATCGAAGGATATCGGTTACGGAAAATGTTCTGTTGTCTAAACGTTACCTTTTAGTCATGGGGCAATATTTATCATTCTGCAGTTCAAGCATTATGTTTGGTCGCGATTATTCATCTAATTTTCTAGCTTGATATTTTCTTCTTCAAGCTCACTTTATTTATCTTTGTTATCTTGCTGATAGGTTGTCGATGCCAAAAATATCCATATGCAGCTTGAGGGGTATCAGAGTTCTTCTTCATTTCCTGAAGCATTTCTTCAAATTGCATTTGCGGTATTTTCTTTTATTCACAAGTATTATTTATGTGTGATTATGTCATGTGTCGTTAAAGGCGTGTTTGGATTTCAATGGGGTTAAGGGAAGTTAAGGGAAACTAGGTGAGAGAAGGGAAGGGAAGGGAAGGGAAGGGAGTTCCCTTCCCCTTGGTTATACCCCAATTTGGGGGGTAACAAATTTTATACTATTAAGGGGTGAACTAAGGGGAACTAGGGTGAATAACTTCACCTCCTAAATGTTCCCAAACAAGGTGAATGGTTCCCCTAACTTCCCTTCTTCCTTATTCCCCTCAATCCAAACAAGCCCTAAGTGTATTGTCAAAACTATTTCGATTATTATAAGCCCAATGATGTTTACTCTGCATATCTGTGCCTTAATTTTTCGATATGCCAAGTCTGATCTTGGTTAGACAACTCTTATATTACTAACCATCAAATTTACACACTTTACTATATTATTTCAGGATGTAGTAATCCTTAACAAGGTTGACTTGATTCCACAAGAGAATTGTGGAATTCTTAACTCGAATGCGCTGCAGGACTTGGAAAAGGCAATCCATGATATTAACTCTCTTGCAATTGTTATTCCATCGATTTGTTGCCAAGTCGACCTGCACAAAATTTTGGATTGTCAGGCCTATGGTGCTAAGGCTAGTACAATGTATTCAATCTTTCTCGTCTTTCAACTTCTTGTATACTTAATCAGCATTGATTTTTGTAATTTATTTATTTTGATCAGCATCTTGCTTACCTTGAAAACCTATTGCAAGAAAGTAAAGCTGTACCTATCAAGAACCGTCACGATTATAGTGTACAAACCTTGTGTATTTCTGAACAGCAACCCGTTGATTTGAGTAAGGTACTTCTATATTATTCTTACATATTTTTTCCTTTTATCAGCAGGACTTGCATCATTTAGTATAGATGTTCTTAATATGCTTGTCCTCTAAATTCAATTGAGACCTGAGACCTGACTGGTTTCATCTAGTGGATAGTTTTGCATCAGATAGTTCTTAATATGCTTGCCCTTTAAACTCAAATGGGACCTGGCTGGTTTCATCTAGTGGATAGTTTTGCAGCAGTTAGTGAGCAACTGCACTGCAATAAATAGACATGATATATCTTGTTGTATTTTTCGCATGTTATTATTTGGCATATATTTACCTTTGTTGTCTCAGTGTGGAGTCTGTTTTAATTCTGCATACTCTACAAGAAACTAGCAACTGCTCTATTAATTTGTGTTGTGCAGGTTAACTTTTATGGGTAATTTTGTCCACTGATAACTAAAAAAAAATAGGCCAAATAAATCCTATAGGCCTTGTTTGGCAAGGGTTAAGGAAGAGAGATTAAGGAAAAGAATTCACGTAGTTAGCCCATTTGATAGTCCAAAGGATCAAATTATTAACCCATTAAATAAGCTTTAATTTAGCCCATGTAATTATTTTTAGTGTTTGGGAATAATGAGGATTTTGACTATTTTCTTTATAAATAGAGGGGTTAACTCTTAATCCTTCTAATAGGAGTATTAGTAAACCCCTCAATTTGAGGAGTTAACTCATTTTAATCCCTTTAGAGGGGTTAGCTTAACCCTTATGTATTTTTTTTGAGTTTGGCATATTATGGAGAGTTAACTCACTTTAATTATTGTATAGGATTTTTGTGTTTGGCGGGTTAAGAAGGCGTTAAGTCTCCTTAACCCAATACTTAACTACTTGTAATTCTTTAATATTGAGGACCCTACCTCGTTACAGTTTGCTATTTGATTCTGATTCGATATTAGTCTTGATTTGACTTTTGATTTGGAAAATTATGAACTTCGCTACTATCCTGTGAATTTTGTGATTTGGTAGTGGATATTTTTTGACATATTTTTATGTGATAATTCGTAAAGATGGTCTTTCATGTTTGATTATCTATCTTGAAAAAATATGTGTGCGGTTTGTGCCTTGCTTCACTCGGGCTCGCTCGTCGCTCTATGCCATGCACATGTATGCTTGAATAGACTTTGTGCTCTGCATTGCGCCTCGTGCATTGATAATACTGGTTTAGGTCACTAGTTAACTTCATGCATACTGCCTGAGCTCTTCTGTGCAAAAGTTGTAGGAAGTATCATACTGTAGTAATTCATTTTCTGAAAGATTTATCATGGTAGTGTCATAGTAATCTTCTTGTAGATACATAAACCGATCCCTTATATTTTTTTCTACTACAGGTTCGCTTATGGATTGAAGATCTTATTTGGGAAAAGCGTTCTAACATGGATGTATATCGATGTAAAGGAATCCTCTCTGTCCTTAACTCTGATCAACTTCATACTTTACAGGTTTGAATGCCTTTATACTTTACCTGCTTTCGCTTGGATCTAGTATATTTCAGTGTTAGCATACGTGGTGGATCTGAGCATTTGTATATATTGCTGAAGTTAGGATTTTATCAGAGAGGTCGTTATAGCATCTCTCGAAATGGTTATAAACGAATTGGGAGATCTACTTAGCATTGTTAAAAAAAATGTATTCTCAGCATTAAGGTTCAAATTGTTGAGATTTAGTTTATACTAGCTTCTATGTTTTTTCTTTTACTAGTATATTTCCTTGCATATGAATGTCATTCTGTATGACAATTTATTACCTTCAATCCCTTGTGTTGACCCTTTTTGAGGAAAACAACACCTAGTCCGAAGCAATGAATCATCAGATTTGAGCTTAACGGTCAACCCCATTATGTCGGTAGACCGCTGGCAATTTTTTTTCGGAATTGTCACAACTCTACCGTCACAAATAAGGGAATAAAATGCAACCTAGCCCAGCCCAGCCCCCCCCCCCCAAAAAAAAAAAAAAAAAAAAAAAAAGCAAAAGAAAAAGAAAGCAGACATCAGACGGAAAACTAATATGCGCTTCCCCAACGCAACTACTTGCGAAGAAATTCATTGCCTGTTAGACACCATGTTTGTCTACATCCAAATTGGTTCAGGTCAAAGCATGCACTTCAGGATCATTTTCTGCATTTGATTTGTTTGAAGATTAAATGCATCAGCTGGTCCATGGCATATGGCAATGTTGATATTGTTACATGTTTTTATGGAGAATGCAGATCAGATGTAGAGCCAATGCATGTATGGTCGTGCATGTACCACTTCATACTGTCAGGAAAAAGGTGAAAAATCAAATTAGGATAATCATGACAGGGATGATCTACACAGGTATAAATTTTGCGAACCACAGAAAATAGTGTGATCGTACAAAATATAAATCGTGAAACTGAATTAGTGGTCATGAAAAGAGGTGAGGATTATAGTTCACCAACATTTTAATGGGAATTGAGGAACTGCTCTTTGAACCAAGAAATTGTCAATAACAACAAGAACTAACAAAGTTATTTTTGAGAATCGACATCAGCAATTAGTTAACTCTTGGTTTAACTGTCAGTGCTCTCTTAGGTTGTAACAATCTTGTGGATAAGAAAAGATTTTATCAGAAAGGCGCGTCGGCTTATTGTCTTTTTCAGCCATGTTGTTAAAATTAAATACCCTGTTTCTCTTTTTGACAGGCAGTAAAAGAGTTATATGAGATTGAACCAGCTCGCAAATGGAATCAGATGGAAAACCAGACGAGCAAGATTGTATTCATAGGTAATGCTAAATCCTATTATGTTAACAGAATTCTAGGCATTTGTACGTCCTGCTGTCCCTTTGCTAGTCCTTGATCGCTTGTTTGTGTTTCACTTTATTCAGGTCATAATCTGGATGAGACAATTCTTCGTGATTCGTTCAAGTCTTGCACATTACAAATCTAGTGCATTTGTCTGTTTCACTCTTCTATACTTATGGTACATGAAATAACACTGGCTGGTTACTGATGGATTATTGATTTGATCTAGCTAGATTCCTAGGAAGTGCTTGCCTTTGATTTCAGCTGATTTTGTATTTTATTAACTGCAGGTGCAAAAATACCAAAAGCACGAGGAGGTCCTTATTCTTCATTTATTGTGTGAAATTTCATTCCCAAATCAATACTGTGAGATGCAAGGTTTGGTTGAGCACAATTCTGTCAGCGTATTAAATATTTGCATTTGTGCTGGACATGAATCAGGGAAATGCAAATATTTAATGGAATATCGGCAGATCTTCTCATCATTTGATGGAGAGGAAGTGAGTGCAATAAATGTACACTTGTCTGCAGATGATATGTTGAGATTTTATACTTGCGTTGTAGTGATTTACCCTAGTTCAGCTTATTCGTACCACTGTTTGCCTGATATTTATCCTGTACTATGTATTATAATATGCAGCACTGGAGGACCTTTGAACCTTAAATTTTATCTTTGATGGTATGTAGTATAAGATTGTTTTCATAGTAGTTTTCCTGCATTTGTGGTAACTACACTGAACATCCTGTAAAACTCAATCAAGAGGTTGAACAATATAATTATCATTGCCTGTTCTTATAGTGGCAAAATTAATTATGGAATGAATGAAGCTTCAATGGCTTGATTAAAGAATTACACCAAGTTATTGAAATTGATCCAAGAGAGTACTGACTAAAAGTAATATGCAAATGGCCCATAATGTTTGATAGAACATCTGCGGTTGCGGTTTAGATCTCAAATGATCATCACATGAATAATATGTTTAATTTGAGCAAGACGCAACCAATGGTAAAATTATTCATTAAAAAGTTTTCATGTAGTTTGGGCCAAATGTTGAAACCTCCAGGAGAGTTCTCACGGATGTTAGGCTTAGGAGTTGACTCTGATGGTTTTCTTTCATCTCTAAGCAAAATGGACATGACTCAAATTGAACATCTAAGTGGACCTTCATTTGGGAGAACATCAAGGGCCATGCACAAAGAAGCTCCAAATCAAGATATGAGGCTATTAATGTGGGCGTCAATTGAAGAGGATGAAAGAAGTGATGACTCCCAAGGTGAAGAACAAGTTAGTGCACCAATTGATAGTATGCAATTTGTGAATGAAAATGTTGAAAAGAACTCGAGATGGCTTGACGAGGCTTATGTTAACAATGAATATGTTGAACACGAAGATCCACCTCTTGACGAGCTTGAAGATGATGAGCATCTTTGTTCTTCTACAGTAGAAAATATTGATTTCTGCCGAAGTTTAAAAGGTAGAAGAGATAGGAGATTTATTTGAGACTAGAGAGAAATCGGTTGATGCTATTCATGATTATTCTATCAACACCAATGTCAAATTCAAGTAGGTTAAAAGCTATCGAATGAATGACTACATATATTTTAAAAGCTCCTCGAAGGGCCAGAAATTTTTTTTTAAAGGAACTAGCTTGACCAAATGGCAAATGAATAGGTATAAAATCATAAGATCTAACACTATTCAAGCAATATATTAAGCATGTAAAGAATGTTAGCGTTATGTACTTTTTTGTAATGTTTTTTATAGATCAAATGGACGCCTTGTGAACTTGTTCTACCCTCATTGCCTGATATTTGTAGAGATGGTGAAGGTAATAAATGGCTTGCTAGGGCCCTGATCATATGATTTGATATTGTCGAGATGCACATTTCTGATCGTGTGCTTCGACAATTTCAATTAAAACAAAACATTCCAGTCCTATAGGAAGAATAAAGCGAAATCTCCGAAAGGGGGGACATCAACAAAATTGGGAAATAATTCATCAACCGTACATCGGAGATTGTGATTTGAGAGAGTATGCTATAGTGATGGAGAGAGTTGACGCTCCAAACTTAGATGTGTATATACGCTACAATTGGGGGATTACTTGCTGATAGATATATCAGGAGAACATGACACCTTACATGTACATGCTGAGAGGTCTAATTGAGAGAGCGTTGGTAAGTAGATAGACAATCTAGATTTGTTTTGTGATCATTATTTTTCCATGATTATATTGCTAAATATTGCATTTCAATTGTTACATTGTAGGTAGAAGAAGTTGATAAGACAGCTTTTATTGCATATGATGCATTGAGATCAACTACTGAGCAAAGGGCAAGGAATGCATTTATACGCATCGTAGGAAAGGTATACGCATCATAAGAAAGATTCAGTCCGCTTTTTTGAAGATGCATCATGCAGCTCATGATGGACGTTTAGAACGAGTTCTAATGTGCAAACCTCGATGATTGTGAGGACATACAAGAGCAAGCTCAAGTCATGACAAAGCTGGACCTTCAAAAATTCACAAACAACCGGACAACGAGATCATCCAAGCTCATGTTGAAAGGGAACGGGGACGAGGGGGAGAGAAACAAAGAGATATTGGAAAGAGAGGAGTTCTTACTATTTGCTGAATTGAGTTGATATATGTTTGTTTTGGGTTTGTGAATTGAATTAATATATGTTTGAAGCGGACATGATGAATTTCAATGATTTGTTTTTTCTCTGTGTGGTTGTATGAATAGTTAGTTTATCATCTTTTATCGTATAAGTTGCTTTATTCTGTTTAGGATTGAAATTTGATTTAGATTGGATATGATGTAACAAAAAAATTGTCAAAGAGGGAAGAATGGGAAGGTGGTGTCTGTAATATGGACGGGGTTAGCAACCCCGACCATTACATACACTTAGCCAAAAGACTTGGAGCAAGAGATAAATCTACCAAATAGTCGGGGTTGGTAACCATGACTATTTTGGAGCGGGTTCAAACATAGTTGGGGTTGGTGACCTCGACTAATTTGAATTGCTTTCTAATTAGTCGGGGTTCGCAACCTCGACTAATTAGAAGGCAGCTCAAATTAGTCGTGGTCGACGACCAAAGCTAATTTGACCTGCCTTCTTATTAGTCAGGTTTGCCAATCTCCAGTAAGTAGAAAGAGGTGTTTTTTAAATTGATCTAGCTTTTGGCTGCACTACTGTCATGGTCAAAACTGGGTTGATTTTTATAAATAAGTTGGCAATGTGTAGATTTTGGAAAATAAAATTATAAATAGGTATGTTTTGAACATTTCTTCATTTAGAAATACCTGACGGGTGCATAGCTAGGGGTGCATTCGGTCCTGATACAGCTCGGATATGATGCTTAACATATCCATATCTACGCTTACCCATCTCGGATATGAATATGGATACAGATATACATCAGTAAGGAAAATTTGTAATGACCGTGAATTTTCTATACTAGTTTAATATTTTTAGATATTTTAAAATATTAAATTATTATTTTTAAAAGAGTTTGTATTTTCTCAATTTTCTAAAATTTTCTATGATTTAAAAATCCGGTTTTATATTTATTTTAATAGTTTTGTTACTTATAAATTTAATTGTTACGGTAAAAACTTTTTAAATTAATATTTGATTTTTTTATTGTTATTATTATTGTTATTAATTAATTTATATTGATTTTCTCCTTAATTACCTCTTTAATTTATTTCCTTAATTCCCTTCCTGAATAATCGCAGATCCCCTCAATCGTGTTCGCTCTCCTCATCATCATAACCAACTCACACGTTCTCTTTCTCTCTCCAATCAATATCTCTCTCAAGCTCTCTCTCCCCTCTTAATTCTCCCCTCCATCTCTCTCATCTCTGATATCTCTCCTCTTTTCTCTCTCCCCAAGAGCATATCTCTCCATCTCCCTCTCTCCTCTCGTTTTCTCTCTCTTCTCTCCTTCTTCCCAAACCTAGCGCTAGATCTCAAACCACCGCTCCCTCAACACGGACCAACCGCCACCCACAACTCCACCCCTCTCCCCCCGCCCCCCACGCTTCCCTTGAGTAGGTCCTCTTCCAAACGAAATCTCATTCAGAGTACAGGAACTTCTTGAACTCCTCCAGCTCATATTTCTTCCCCATTGTTTTGATCTCAGATGCTGTACTTTCAGATCTTGTTTCATTCTCCACTATGGCCCTTCCTCCACTTCTTTAAAGATGTTGCAAACACCTGCTGACTTGTGCTTCTATGAAGCGCATACCCATACATTCCTCGAGTGATCGCTTCGATAAACACGTGACGTAGTAGCGATACTGTTCAACGAGAAGATACGCTACCTGGACCCCATACATCTGTGATGAACAAGCTCTAGCTTATTGAGTTTAGTGTGCGTCTTCCACCCTTTCAGAACTAACTTCTCTTCTGCTTCTCTGAACGCATGCAATCTTCACAAACAAACCAACTTTCCACCAAATCAATGCCGGCTTAGCCCTTTCCTTTCTGAGTGTAGAATTTTCCTACCCTTCTCACTTAATTGTCTCAGCCTACTTGTGCCACAGTATCCCATCTACTCTCCTGACCTGCCTGCTAATTGCGAGGTATCACTCCATGTGAAGTTAGGTAGAGAGACCAGTTCTTGCTTGCCACAGGCAACACCATCTGCTACCATTGGAGATTTTCCATGAATCTCTAGTGCAATGTTGTACATAGTATTTTGCTCAAGCTTGCCGCAACCGAAATAAGTCTCGACTTCGTCTCTTAAAGCTGTTAGCCTTGCTGCTCCTCAAGCCCCGGTTATCCAGTTTGGTATCGACACTTCGTGGTTCAGCAAGGACTCCTCCACCTTGATGCCCATCTCAACTGTATTTGCAATCTCCTCTTCCGAAGCCTAGATACCTACAGGGCATTGCAGCGGGATTCCTCCTCCCACGCAATCTGCCTCCAAAATTCTCTCTCCAACAGTCCCTGCCTACATAGTCTGAAAGAGGTTCCTCAGTAGCCGCTGGAGCTGGAAGAGGCCTCAGCAGCTCCGGCGGAACCATCACCCCAGTTAAGCGCTCGACCCTCAGAAAATCAGCAACGTCACTCCACATGAGGTCAGACTCATCGATCTCTCGATCATACAAACATGGCCTCCTGGCACTGCATATTCTATTTCTTCTCTTTGTGCTACGTGGTCTTTTACAGGTGGTACTGAAGTACACTAATGGCTCCCCTCTTCCAGTGGTGGTCAAGTGCTTCTAAGACATCTTCAACTGTTAGAACTTAATTCGCGTCTCACCATACGATCTCTTGACCTCTTTTTTCTATTTCGACTTTCGCGCATCAGTTCCTATTTTGGATGCTCATCTCCCCTATTATTGGTCTCTATCTACCTCTCTACCTCGAGACTTAGGGACTCACCGATGGTGCTCTATGCAACCTCTCTTGATTGCAATTCCTGCATGATGTCTTCATCATCTCTTAACTCCTCGGCATAGAATTAAATCAGGCTTCAGGCTCCTCCTTCAGAATTTCTGCTTTCATGCGCCATTCACAAGTCTCATCCCGCCTGACGGTTCGAGAACTGATTGCTCGCGATGCGCACTCAAGTCTCCCTTGTGCCGCGCGCCAGACTCGTTTCGCCAAGCGCGCCCAACTGCGTCATCGCCCGATAGTATCATAGAGCCATGAACAGACACATTTCTTATCGATTGAAGTGCTAGTACAACATTTACAACGTTT